AAAAAAATGAAAAAAATGTATATTTATATTTTAGAGTGGTAATTTTTTAACTACTAAAATAATATTACTATTATTTTAAACTAATTAATAAAAGCATGATAGCGGTAGACGGAGCAGAAAAACATTTTTGGGTCGGTTTGAACCTCTGTCTGCGTCAGGTACCGAAACCGCCTGCAGTGTCAGATATTTTTTTTTTTGCAGCATTTTTATTTATTAACTGATCTCGACATCATTTTGTCAACCTTTCGATTTACTTACTCCTATGCTCTCTTCACATTTTTATTTCAATTAGTTATTAATTTATTATTAACAATTTCTATCAACGATAATGCGTCAATATAATATAATATATACGTTGTCATATTTTTCAATCAACTACGTTGTTTCATAAATCGATTGACAATATAATACTGTAAAATACATAGTTATTTTTATAATTACACAATTTGATTATGATTATTTAAAATTTCCGGAGTATGGTCAAGAATCATGTTCACATGATTGGCATTACCCAAACTATCGGGTAATGTCGACATTACTTGCAATTCGATATTATCTGTAACGGCATCACGTATAGACGTATTAATAGTATTTAGTCACAATAGAACTAGGCTCTGGACACTGTAAAATTGGAACAATAATTAGGGGCCATTTTTTTGAAGGTAGATGATATTTTCATATAATATATATATATTATGTATGTTATGTATGTGTACAATAACCATACTTACTGATTTCTTCCTCTGATTTCTTTGTCAGTGTCCATTCTGATTTATTTATTATTCTGTGATAGAACATCTACAATAATGATCAATTATTTTCCATCCGACAAAAAACTGTGTGCGTAATGTACAAGTAAAATGTTTAGGTACACATAATATTTTATCACCTGTATAACAATGACCGTTTTTGGGTTTCAACAGATACTGTTTACCGACCACTGTAAGGCATGCATTTGCATCGACGGGCAGATATTTTGCTATTGGCAATGCGACGACACAGCTCCTGCAGACACAATGGACGAAGAGATCGACGACGAACCGCAATCCACGTCCACGACAAACAGTAATATATAACAATAGAAAGACATTTCGATGCGTGGGTGGTCTAAATGAATAATATGTATATATATATATACGTGTAATGTGTATACCAAACCTACACTTTCATAATATGCTATATAGATACGCGGGGTTCACGTCTGTTTGTTTTCGATTTAAAAAAAAAAAAACAAACAATTTACAAATCTGTTTTTGGATGACTGTTTGACTTGACTATAATTTATCACACGTGTGTTCTTATTCCTTTAATTAAAACTGAGGCTTTAATGACCAAAAAATCTCAAAATAAACCCTTAAAAAATTGAAAATGACTCAAAGAACTCAAAAAAAAACCCAAAAATCCCCATAGTAAAAATAATTTTTAATGTATTAAAAAAAAAAATTCTTTTACATAAAAAAATATATTACAAGGGCATTTTTGTTTTTTCAAATAATGTATTTAAATAAGTATTAGTAGTATTAGTATAAATTTAAAAAAGAGTTGCACAGAGAGCTAGATTGTTTTACCGTAGACGTCGCCTTTCACTTGTTAACTAAGTTTAGACATTTCAACCATTTTTCGATAATATAATATGAATTACGAGTACCTATTTTATGATCTGTTATATTTATATGATTACGATGTTGGTGTGTAAGAGTTTTAAAATAAAATTAAATTTATAATTCGTTTCCAAAAACACCAAAATGTCATAAAAAAATCAAGAAAATTACCTTTTTTTTTTTATTTTCTTATTAAAAGAATAATTACAATCTATACAAACATTTTATACAATAAGTAATTTTTTTGATGGAAAATAGCGTTGATATAACAGAGAGGGAAGGTACTCAGTAGTACCAGAAAATGACCTAAAAAAAAAAAATGCAAAATAAACTTTCATGTTCTCATTTAAAAGTATATAAAACAAATTTGTGACAATACGAGCATAGCACAATAAGCTTTAGAAAACAATGCAAAGTGCATCGAAATCCCAGCCCTAATTATAATATAAGTATACCTACCTAGTACCTGTATTGCTTAGGTACCTTTATATAGGTGGTATGAGTGTACAATTCAGTAGAAATTGAGGTAAGAGAATATAATACTGTAGTTTTTTTTTTTTGTTTTTTCATATTTGAATGTTCGCATTACTAACTAAAAACGTACAACCGTCCCATCGGTATTATAAACTGATCCAATGTCGTTAAGATATCCAAGGCCACAATTTTAAAATTTGTTATATTCTCATTAAATGCTTTTGTGGATTTTTTCCCATGACATATTATACTCATTTTCCTTCACAAATTTCACACTTTTTACGTACCTTTACCCTTATACGTATTATATATTTCGTCCCTAAACTTTCGAACACCATTCATCAGTTATAAGCTACAAGTTAAAACTACATATCTGAATACATATTTTCAAAAATCTTAACGAGTAGGTAAATTCTTTTTACGAGCACTTACATTTTTGTAAAACGTCCTGTGTTGACACTATATATAATAATATATGTAGTGAATCGAGCTCCACGCGGAATCGTTTTCGTAATGCGCAGTGATTTATTATTGCTTTCAAATTCATAATATGTACATAAATATTATACAACTACGACACTGCAGCATATGTGTGTACGGATTAGGTACACGGTGGAGAGCGAAGCGGCAGCAGTCTCGTGTCCTGTCCGTACATTTTTTTTTTTTTTTTAATGTTTTTACCAAAGCTTTTGTGTGCATATATACAGTATAGTTAAGGTATATAAATATAACGGCTTGACATTTGCAATATTTACGAGTTAAAACAATTCTACACGCACCTAGAAGTATACGCGTGTGTGTGTATGTATATAACGTCACAGTATATAATACGTGCACGGTAAAACACTATAACCTGAAAACAATAAATAATCAGACAGAACAAAAGCTCGGTGTGTATGGGATGAGGGAAATAAACATTAAAATAATAACCGTCATTATTGTGCGAGTAAATAATGTAGCGATGATAGTGATAACTGCTTGCGTATATATATTATTGGGATTAAAATCTTTTATACTGTTATAGTGTTATCACCGTCGTCTGTACATCGTCCTCCGTATGGCGTTGTAATGCGCTTGGTGTACTGCACATAGTGCACCGAGATCCGCGGCCGAAGGGTTAAATATTATGCAGTTTGATGCATTTTGCGTAGTCTATACGTCATAATCTTTAACCCGGCATGGGTGTTATGTTCAAGTGTTTTTTTCACCGGTGGCGTGTGCGGGTGGAGAATGCACGGTTAAAGTGCAGTTAGAGACGCGTAATATTTACATTGATGAAAATTTTATCTCCAACAAAAATATTCTTTCTCCTTTCTCGTCCATTCTATACAAGAGTGCCTACCTACTGCAATTTTGAAATCCTCGATATAAAAAATAAAAATAATATACTTAAGGTACTATACCTATACGTGAGTACAACCGTGACATTCTTGGAGTGCCTTAACGTTTGCACTATAAGTACGATATTAATTTATTTTTTCTGTAATTAACACACACATTTACAAAGTGTACATATTGCTCACAATTAAAGAGTTAATTTTACGAGGGCTAACAATATACAACTATGTAGGATCACACATACCCTCAAGAGGGGTTCACGCCAGTAATACATTTTTTGTTGCGTCCTGATAAAAAGGTTCCGATAACAACATACTTGAGCAGACCGATATTTCACAGGTACATACGGCCTGTGTTTTTGTCATATATTATATTTACGTAAATTGCGCCCAATGGAAAATCCCTAAAAATAACATACATAATAATATATCATTTCTCTTGAACATTTCTTGAATAATTAATTTCTGAAATTTTACATCACTAGATATATTTTTAAAAAAACTAAAGAATTAGAAACTAAAAAAATAACTCAAATTGAATTTTATTATCATTTAATTTTTTACCTGCTCAGTATAGACCAATAAGTTATAAATTTATAATAATTAATAATAAAGGACAACAATTGGCACATAAAACTATAAAAGTTCAACAGCCTAGGGCTTAGTACCGATAAAAATATACAATTTAGATAGCAATAAATAATTAATATAAGGTGACGCATTCAAAATGTATTTTTTATTATATTTTTTTTTTAAATTTAAATGAAAAAAAACCAATATTTTTAACTAAGTGTACCAATATTATGATAGCAACGTTGACAGTCATTTGTTTGATAAAATGGGAAGAAAAATATTGGTTGTAATTGGTAACATTCATTTTTATATAAAAAAATACCCGGGGCACAAAATCGAAAAAATACATAGAGACGCAAATTACGGGCACCCGTTCACACTACACCGAGTCGTGTCGTGTAAATAATTATCTCTGATGGCTGAACCGAGTGGTTCCAAAAATGTATACCATATGGTACCAACTAGTTGCACTGTTGCAGGTAGGTCGTAGGTAACAAAATAGTTAGTATTTATTATGGTAATTGATATCCATCAATCATCAAAATATAGAAAAACACGCGTTACATCTTACATAATATAGTGTTACTCTTTGTCTCTTCTATCTCTATTAGACACTTAATAGGTATCTATCTGTATGGGTAAATACTTAATGTTAAACTAAAAAATGGTTTACGTTTGACACGCTATAATATATATATATATACGTATTACCTACTATAGAGAGAAATGTCTTTAACTTTTTACTCCTCGCTTTGAGCTGAACAATGTTTTCAAGCTCACATCTGAAAATGTATTATTTTTCAGTAATTTCCACTACCTTCGAAACCGACGTGAGTTCGAAATCAACAAACATTGTACCGCACTCGAGCCCCTCTGACGTTTTGCTGACAACCACCGTGACACCCAACGATGACGCCGAGCCGTTTTGCCTCGTTATGGGTGAATATAAATAAATAATATTAAAATTCCGCAGCGATGATGATCGCGTCGATCTGACCGAACTGCGTTAGTATTATACCTATAATACCTGTTGTTGTTAACATCGAAACTGTTTCGGGCGCAGGTGTCAGATATAAGCCAGGCAGCGTTTTGCCGAGGGACGCGGGGTCCTGTCTGGAATGTCAGTGCGGCCAAAACTCGCAGATCGCGTGCAGCCCGAAGGACTGCATAACGTTGAATTCGTTGAACGACGAGGACACTTCCGAACCGGATTTCTACGGCAACAGCAACGGCGAACAGGGCAACGGAAATTTCAACATGGACATGTTTGCCGTCAACGTCGTTTGATGGAAATCGTCGATGGAGCGAGAGAGAGAGAGAAAGAGAGAAAATTATTGATATTAAACGATGCGTCTTTTACGATTAATACCTACATGCGATTTGTCTTACAAATAACAGCTATAATAATATATCATTATACTAACACATTGTAATTCCCGCCAAAATGTCTACAATAAATAATGATAAAATGCCCTTATTAATACTCAAACTGCAGTAACGGTTTTTCGTCTTGGTGCTTTCGATTTGAGTTTACACATACATTCACGTAGTTTTTTATTTTAATTATTATTTCATTTTTAACAGTGCATTTTTAAATTTTTAACAGTCATTTTTAATCATCTATACAGAGTACCTAAGAAGTAAGAAATCCCCATCAAATAAAAATACGAGCTGTGACCATTTAAAGATAAAATGTCCCTTGCCCATAGACATTAAGTGTTTCCCTGTCGAAATTCGTGGTTAATGCCCAATAACGGAAATAAAGTTCAATTCAAATTTCATTCGAAATTTCAAACCCAATAACCACAAACAATGCTTGCCAGCGTCTTGCTGCTTTTTTCAATAAAATATATAATAATACTCTTGTATATTAAACATAATACAATAGTGTCATAATATACGCACTATCATTTCCTATTATAGTGAGTGGTATATCGCGTAACAGGTACATTGAATAGTTGAAGATCGGTAATAATGATCGACTGCAACCTATATCATAAACCTTGCAAAATTCGAAAAATCGTCTAAACCCTATGTTGTTGGCGGTGTTATATTATATATTTTTTTTACGCATTCATGAAAACAACGACAAATATTTGAAACCGATAAAAATATACCATTGCGATGTGTATGAAAGATAGACCAAGTCGCTTAGGATATCGCGGTAATCTGGTTCAGACATATTAGATATAATTTTTACTATTTCTTAGATATTATTTGATAATAGTAATATAATACCTGTACAATAATTGTACACATTGTATCAATAAGTAATATATATTCTAGTGTGCGTTGTTTCGTTGCCCATATCATAATATCATATTGAATTTAAACGAAATTCAAGCTGAAAGAGAGCTTAATACCTATATAATAATATGCTGGGTATAGTTCCGCAGGGAGGTGCATAAAACATTAGAGATCCGTTCTCTGGACCAGTCATTTTTCGGAACATTAGTTATTATCTTTATTATTCAGTTTTATAGCGGTTCTTTTGTTTTATTTTTCTTAGTTTTAAAAGTTGATATCGTTCTCGCATATTTTAACTGTACATACATGTAATGTTCGACGTACTGACTTTTCGGTATTAGCCCTCCGTTCAATAATCCGTATTATATAGGTGCCATATTATCAAATTGTACATTTTGTCTTGAGCGAACTGGTCTTTCTACCACAAACTGTTTTTCATTACAACGCAATAACTTATCTCAACCATACCAACAGACCAAAATATTAATATATTATGATAAACAAACTATAATAATATAAATGCCTGTAATGTAGTAGCTGCTAAACTTTGTTTAATGAACCAAATGTATGTACATATATTTTTTATTTTTACAAAATATGTAAATTTTCATACACAAAAGATATTTACTGACTCTTACAACGAGTATTTATTATGAATTATTTAAATATTTTAAAGTATAAAGAAATTATTTATTTATTTTATATCGTTTATTAGTAAGTACATATATGTACTATCAGTGTGTTTACAATATCATTATTATTTTTTATTTTATAAATAAACTTATGATTTTTTTTTTCAATTGTGCACTGTGTATACCAAATATTATGATAAGTAGTGTAACAATTTTATCTGTTATCACTCATAAGTTATTTTAGTGTAGACATCCTTATTAATTATTCATGATTAAATATGTATACTTAAATAAATATAATGTTCACTCAGATGAAAAGATTTCAAGTATAAAACCAATATAAAGAAAACTATATTAATACATAACTTCTCTCTTGCAAAATACATTTTTTAATCGTCTGAATTTAATTTTTCTAAGCTAGTGTATGACTCTTTAATTAAACATGCATTTGTATGATTACCCTTTTTAAATATTGTTAAATAATTAGAAATTACTATTATAATTATTATATTATACTAAATTATAATTTAAGTACCTCATATCTGTAGTCATTATCGGTATACTTAGATATGTATACATCAATTTTATAATACATATCTATATTAAGATATATCATAGTGTTTCTGATAAATAAAAATGTATTAGATACCTATTACTTACCGAAATTAAAGAAATAATATAATGTGTGCGTAATCTGACTATTTATATAATTTACAAATTTTATTATCATCCATTGCCGGTTATTTAATATTTTATGTTATACGTATTTTCAATAAATATTATTATATTACTAACTAAAATATTCACCTCGATCGCTGCAGTTATTATATTAAAAAAATGTGAAGGCATCAAGTATATTATCGTATAATTTATCATTAGTTGTTTTTTTAATGAACACTCTCATACACACTCTTAATAGTCTCTCAAATACATAATAATTAATAATAATATATATTTATTATACATTACAATGTACATAAAAGTGAAATTGCATTGTTTTTATTACGTCTAACGTATGCACCAGCAACTTGGGGTATGGATGCTATATGGGTTTAATCACATCACACATGACAATATTATGAGGTATAACCGCCGCGGTTTAAGATAGAACTGTCTTAAAGCGTGGGTATAACAATAAAATTGAACCACGATTGTGTTGTATCTTAGATTGCCTATCGAAAACGCCGCGGGTAGATGGTATTATTATTGAAAATATTATTATCTATTTTATAATATAATATATTGAGAAGACTATAGAATAGAATCAATGCAATTAGATATGAAAATGGCATTTTTTTATCATTGCAGCCATGGAGTCCTATATAAAATATATCCTACCATGCAGAACAGCCGATTGCAACACGATTCCACAAAATACACTAGTTTACTTACAAGTACAATATAGTCATTAGTCACGGTTTTCGCGAAACCACATAAATGAATTGTCCACTACCGTATAGACACGTTTATCAATATTTATCAATAATATAATAATGTCAAATAAAAACCAATTAAATACGTAATAAAAGCGTTTGTTAATGTAAATATGTATAGGATTTTCAGTATAACAACCTAACTTAACATGTATTTTGTGCAGTGTCAGTGTGCAGCGATACTGGACATGATGTTATACAGAATATGATATTACTATATAGTATAAGGAAAAAGTGTTATAACTTTTCAGAAAATATTATGAATTAACCGTTATTATATTCGTCGTAACAATTCAAACGAAATAATGTTCAAGGACTCAAATACCAATATTATATTTTATACTTCAAACACTTTGTAGATTACCATAGTAACGAAAAACCGGAACGCCTGATCCTATTTGTCACTTACCAATGACCGACCAAACGTCCCATTTTTGAGCATAATGTCACCTTGTCTCGGCAAACTTCGAACCGGACGCATTTTGTCCCTTTTTAATCAGGTTTATCTCCTCGTATTAATTGTATACCCAGCTCTATTATATAATTAATTTTGTAGTGTCGTATTAATTGGATCATTAAAATATGTACAGTACCTATGTGTATCGATTTCTGAATAATATGTAAGCCAGTGGTGGACTGGCGGATGGCGTATATTTATGCACAAGTGCACGTGCACGTGCACTACCTTCCCAGACTCAAGAGAAATTGAAAAATTGAAAACATACATCATGATAATACAATTGAGTACCTGTAGTGTTATTAAGATTAAGGTATAAAGTGTAAAAATAGAAATATAGAAATTTAGAATATAAAATAATATAATACTTGGATTGGGTTATTTCGAAAGCCAAGCGGCCAGTTGTCCACGGCGGAACAGTATCGGTACGCATAGTAGCGCACACAATCGCTGTGCACATTTGCACAGTGTAAAAATTAAAACAAGTCAATACACTCAACCCGCGTCAGAATGGAATTTATGTGCAAAATATAACCAATTAAACAGTATAACAATTAAATTGTTTTCACTTTTTCAGAGAGTTATTTTCGATGTTGTCGTCTCAATTATAATTTATTTTTACTCACAATCGTTATTATATTCCGATTATCATCTAAATAATGTTCGTAGACGATTGCTCAATACAATCTATAATATTATATATTTATACATAATATTGGATATAATATTTTTTTTTTTAATGCGCACTTCTTCATTAAAAACCCAGCAGCAGCCACTAATGTAAACTGAAAAAACCGATAACTTGGGTTATGAAAAAAAATCCCGGTAGGTGCAATATTATACTCTAATGTGAAATAATATTATTATGGTATTATCTCGTGTAGCCCGAAATAGGAAACATAGATAATCAAAAAATCGTATACGACTGCGCCCTTTAGCCGCAAAGTGGGAAGTCGTCGTTATTTCCACACGCGTTTTTTCAAAACGAAATTTAAACATCCGACGTTAGATAGCGCTGTTATTATCATCCTGACGAGTGGTTGTTGCCTGAATTCATGGGCGGTAGGAATCTAGTAAAGTTGTCGAATCCAAGCAATATTGTGCGCCTCTCCGCTCCTACTTTTAACACTTTGTGGTTAGCGGCAGTGACTCGCGTTTTGTTGTGTACAAAAAATTAAATTACCCGGAGCTTACAAATGCAACACTTGTAATATAATTAATCTTAACAATATAGATGTTTTAATTTAAGGGCGCCCAAACACTCAACAACAATATAATACATATAAATATAATAATATAAAGGGTCACATCATAGTGACAGCATATGACCATACAAAATAACACAAGTTATTGACAAAATAATGCGAATAACAAAAAAAAAAAATACCAACTGCGCGGATCCAGAGCAAAGATCTGGGGACGCCCACAATTTTTTTTTAATGTAAAATTACAATATTGGAATCACTGTCCATCGCGAACTAAAATAGTACTACTTAGTTTGTGCACCCCAGAATGTACGTACAGGTAATAATATATCCTATTATCAGACAAACACATAATCTGCAGGAATATAGTAATATCAGGATCTGTACAATTATTTAAAAAAATTGTGAAATTTTTCCTGACGGAAGTACGACCATGAGCTGTGACGTCTTCTTGTCCAAAACTGGTGCTGGTGACAGTCCTTGTTTGGTGCAACGACTCGAGCACTTCTCGAACACACCACTTGGTGTGCAAAACGAAATGACGGCGCTGGTACGGAAACCGTCAACTCAACAGAAATATATTGAGTCGGTCGTACAAATTGTTTCTTATGGCACTCAGCAGACGGCGGCGACGAGCAGACACGAAGTTGCATCAAGCTCAGTCGCCAGGAAAAGACAAAAATTGAGGCACGGTCTTTATAGAGTAAGTTCTGAGATAGCACGGCGCTGGATGGCAGAGGAGGGGATAATGGCACCTTTCGAATAGTTTGCACCCATTGCGTCTCCGGGAGGAAATATGTCGAAGTAAGGAGTTGTATATACGGTGGCGCGAAAACGTCCGGGTTCGAAGACATGTATTTAATCTTTATAGTTTATAAACTCTTGGATTTTTTTTTAAATTAGTTAAGTCTTACACAATTTTGAAACTACATTTTAAGAGTGATTTATACGGAAAAAAATGTAGTAATTAAGTTCCTAACATTTTTCTATATTTTCCACGCTTTTTCTTCTTAGGTCGAGATTTTTTGATTTCGTCCAATTTCAATACCTCCCTAATAAATTATTTTGTTTCTAAAATATCATATATGTATGTTTCCGGCCGTTTGACGACCATCCGATAAACGATAATATTTGACGTTTTACTTGTGTATATTAAATTATGGCTCTGTCTTCAAATATTATACAAATTATTCTTAATTAGTTTTCATTTTTAGCTTTTGGTAAGTTCAGAGCCCCACAACGGTACTGCATGAAAGGTTTGTTCCTACTTCACAAATAACAAACTCGTACTTTGGGCATACGATTGCCATTGAAAATATACTGAATGTAGTATTATGCATGCCTTTAATAATAAAAGTATAATCCACTTCGTGGAGGATCGACACAATTATACTGTTTGTAAAATAACTATTACTATAATACAGATTGCAGCTTTTATAGACAACAATGTGGAAATTGCCACTTTTCCTCAAATTCCTTCTTTATACCTAACGTTTCATTTACTTGTATTAAAAAACTCAAATAGCTTATTTTAAAAATCGTACTTAAAAATAATAACTAGCAACTTTGTGTTTTTTCAAATAGTTGCAATATTATAATATGACATAATCCGAGATGTGCGTGCTTCGGCGTCAACCACTTTTGTCGTCAAATGGCGTTATGGTGTAAATTTGATAAATTTTATCAATATTTGAACTTCAAAATGCTTATAAAAAAAATCGTGCCTATGTATTTTTAATATTTTTCAACTGCTAATGTAACAATATATTAAGGG